AACTTTTCAATTTTTTGTTTTGACAAAAGTCGAGCCCGAACAGAGGGACCCAAAGTGGCTTTTGTTGGGCCAGAGGCGGTCGGTGGGGGGGGGGTGGGGGTGGTTCGCTCAGGTTCTTGTGGCCGACAAGTGAAAAGAATGCATGAAGGCTTATCAGTTGGACATGCTGTATTTTAATTGTGGGCACTCGAGTGTGAAGCTGGCCCAGCTCAGAGACAACAACAACAGCAACAACAACAAGAGCAACAACAACAAGAGCAACCACCTTCCCGTTGTCGCATACGCTGTGCATGCCTTGACAAAACAGAAAAAAAAGTTACCAAAGACGAGGCCAAGGGCTCCGTATCGCCGTCAGGTACACGTACCCGCACAAATGGCCAACGAAATCCGTATCCGAATCCCCAACTCCTGCTCCCAGCTACCCTCTGCCGGAGCACGTGAAGCAATGCGAGGCGAAAGTTTTGTTTTTTCCCAATTTTTGTTTTTTTCAGTTATCGCCAACGTATGTAGTTGCCGATAAGCATCGCCTGGCCGGCAGGACAGCACTGGAAATTCGAAAAAGGATAAGCAAGCGAAAGGCCCGTTCATTCCTTTTCGCCGGCCAAGTGAAAGCCACAAATTGGCTTTTGAGGAACACTTTTAAAATTGCCGCAAAGTTTAATTGTGAGTCGCACGTGAGCTGATCCCAATTGCTGGCCATTACCTCTAATGGAGATGTCTCCAGAAGCAAAGGAAATTTCAGTCAATTTAAGGCGCCCTAAGATTTGTCAATCTGTTGAGTAGAGGGGGGAGGTAGAGAATGAGAATGACTAAGATCTGGATGTACTTATGAGAAAAGATTGGTGAATCATCGAGCTAGAGCAATATAAATACGAGGCAGATTAAGAATTGCCTTGAATTGCATTACTGATTGGGGATAACTATTATCGAGTGCTATCCGGGTCAAGTTCTATCAGTGAATAACTCCTCTATATTCATGACATCCTTATTTCAATGTCTATGATCAAGCAAGCTGTTTCAAATATACATTGATATACATTTAAAGATATATTGATTCCATTTAAGCTTTGCTTTTCGTATCGCTCCAACAGTGTGAATACAATTTCGAAATAGATATTTAATTACGTAGATGGATGGTCTGACACGAGGCACGAAGAGAACTCAATTAGGTGCATTTCTGAGTGATGCGTGTGTGTGTGTGTGTGTGTGTGTGTGTGTGTGTGTGAGCGCCCCTTGACGCCAGCTATCGGCTGTGTGGAGTGTGGTAGCCTCTGTCAGCGATTCACATCGGCATATACCCAGAAATCTGAGCGTCAATCTGTAGCCGAGTGCTGCTCCCAGACTGCCAAGAGCCGACAAATCGACAAACCGTTTGGGGAGCGTCCGACAACTGCAAAGCTTGCCCACCCACTCACATTTGCATGTTGCAATTGCCAAGCCCTCCACGCTGGTCAGCGGATCACTGTGTGTGGATCTCGGTGGATCACTGTGCGGATCACTGTGGGTCTCGCCGGCTAGCCCATACGTTGTCTTTTATTGATGGCTTTTAACAGGCAAGCCAGCGTCGTTTAAATAATGAGCCATGGAGTCGAGGCCGCAAGTCGTACTCTCTGCCAGCCACACACACACACACACACCCAAGCAGGGAGACAGACAGTCACACACACACATACACACACCTCCGCAGTCGGCGTCAGATCTGTGGTTGAGCCCGCTGTCACAGCAAGTCATCGATGGATATGGATTTGGATGTGGATGCGACCCAGTTGAAGAGTTCGCCTCTCGCTCAGCCAGATCTAAGCCTCGGCAGCTGCCTCGCTCAGTTGGGCAATGGCCATTGGGCATTCATTACCTAATGATGTGGCACTGCCTGAGGCATGACTAATTATAAATCAGTGTGGCCGCAATGCAAAGTGCCGAGTCACTGGCCAGGCGATCCCTGTCCCTACCTAGCACCGTCCCTCGTAGCTGCGTTGTCCAGAGCTTCCTCTCTCTCTCTCTCTCTCTCTCTCTCTCTCTCTCTCTCTCTGTCTCTCTCGGGGCTCACTTTCAATTTCTGTCCGAATTATATGCGATTTCGCGCACTTTGACCTCATCGGTTGACGTCGTTGTCATCGCTGCTCAAGCGAGAAATTGCAAAGGCAGCTGCTAAAACACACACACACACACAGTCGCACACTCACACTCGCACACATACACATGCACTTGAAAATTGACCGGCCAAAAGCTGCGACGACGATCGTCAAATGCCAACTCAAGTCTGACATTTATTGTTTGCCGCTGACGATGATCGCCGGGTGACGCTAACAGACCAAAATGACATCACATTGAAATGACGGACTATGACTTACCACGTAGTGTTTGTTGAGAGGGTGAGGTAGCACTTGGTATTCCATAATACAATTTACTAGCTATCTTCGATTTTAAAATTTGCTTAGTTAAGCGACTCCGATTGGGTAAGCTTCGGCAAATAAGAACTGAAAGGTTAACCCTTCTAAATCTTGACTTCACTCTGGACACCGTCACTCTTTAGCTCTTCAGATCTTCCATCTTCAGTCGTTATACTCAGGTACTAACAACCTTTCCATTGTATAACTTTGTATATAGCTCATACCTGACCTACATCATTTTTGTGTTTCCTCTTCTTAAGGGTTTCTCTTAAATAATATTGGATTCATAGACAGCTCTGCCCAATTGTGACTTATATTGTCTATGCTATTTCAGCATACCCCAGCTGTCTGTCGAGCGACTACAGGGTATACTTGAAATGAGCTCAACATGCACAAAAGCGCCATCGACATGAACTGCCCATGAGTCGGCGCGTCTTCAGTCCAGATCTTCAGTTCAGTTTCAGCTCGGTCTGCGAGCTGCTTTCAGTCATGGACTCCAATGCCGGCTCACGCATATTGGTGCCATATGATTAGTTCGACGTCGTCGATGCATGACAGCCCAACTGAAAATAGTACAGCGCCAGTTCCATTCCCAACCGAATCATGTCTCAGCTTTCGGCTCCCCACTCCTCCGCTCCTCCACTCCTCTACTCCTCCGCTCTTCACTCGTTTCGCGTCTCGCGTCGTCTTGTCTCGTTTTGTCTCGGGCTTGCCGGCAACAACAACAACAACAACAACAACATGATCATCATCTGTGCCCTGGTGCTCTGCCACTGCCTCTACCTCTACCTCTACCTCTACCTCTGCCTTTGCTTCTGCCTCTGCTTGTGGTACCATTGATGACCACAAAAACTGGGCGTGGCTGGCAGGCATGCCCCTCAATACACCCAAGTTGGGCATGGGCGCACACCCAAAAAAAGCTGAAAAAAACGAGGAGAAAAGTAAAAAAAAGCAAAAGCTAAATCAAAACCAAGCTGAAATACCCCGGAGTCCCTCTGTGCCGCTGCGCGGCTGCACCCGCTGGCCGCCCACCTCTGCCTCGGCTCCAAGTGCGATCACTTACAAGTACAAAATTGTCCCAGCCTACGCTCAGCTGCACTCAGTTGTTGTTGCTGTTGTTGTTGCTGGGGCCCCAAAATGATTTCTGGGCGCTGATTTCTGATTTCTCATCCGCTCGCGTGTGCGTGAGCCAAAGCTCGGGCCACAGTTGGGGCCACAGATGCAGAGATATCGCTGCGAATGGGAGCAAGACATATCGCAGGTACGCCTTAGCTCATTTGATATTCATTGATGTGGAGCAGCGAGTCCGATCTGTCCCCAGCACGAGCACCAGCACCAGCTCCAGCACCAGTTCCAGCTCCAGCTCCAGCTCCGGCCAGGGGCACGGCCACGCTCCACACTCCATGCTCCATGCTCCATGTGTGCGTGTGCGTGTGCGTCTGCAAGTGCCAGCCATGGAGGACTCTCGGCTTATTCGCAACCGCAATTACAATTACCTCACCCACTAAATGCCCACCTAACGCACAAGCACAGGAAATGACAAAGGCGACCAAGGCCTATCGTACCCACCTTTCAAATATTGAATTTAATTTCAGCTATTAGGGAAACAAATGGAGTCTGCCAGAGATTTCACTGAGATCTGACTGCTGAGTGACCGAACTACATTCTATTAATATATAAACGAACTCAACTCTCAATCAAAGCATTCCATTTCGCTTATCAGATCTTGAGACTGGGGACAGATGGCTGGTACAACGGCTAGTCATAGAGCACATTGAGTACCATTTAGCGATGTTCGCAGATCTCTTTCCAGAGCTATTCCTGCTTGTGCTTGTGGGCCTGGCCAACGGCAGCTTGGGCTTGACTAAATGCTGGCCTGCAGTAGTAATTGTTGTTGCTCTTCCACATTGTAGTTGTTTTTTAGTGTCATGCGCCACCTTAACAGCATTTTTGCCAGTCCCATTTGTCATTTAGCCAGCTAAACATTCAGTCAGTTAGCCAGTCAGTCACTCAGTCAGTCAGTCAGTCAAGCAGGCAGCAATTCATTCATTATGCTGAGACTTAGCCAGGCGAGTCATTCGATTCATAGGCAGACTGCGTGGGCTGCCGCCGCTTAAGCTAAAGAGCAAACAAAACAAAAGAGACTCCCAAGATATAATATTAACAATTTCCACTAACTTATTCAGGATTAAGTCGACTGTCGATTGCTCTTAAGTAGGTATCAATTTCATTTATATAATGATGAATTTAGTTGTCCTCTCTAAGTTTTGAAAATTTTTCATTACTCAAAATGTATGTATATATTGTATACAAAATTTAAGAATTTATGAATTTAATTAAAGTTAGTAAATATGTAGTGTAATGTAGCTTTAACTTAAGATATTTCTTATCAGATTTTTATATAAGTTTTTCCCCCTCCTTTCCTTCTTACATATTAATATCCAATATATATAAGTTGATGTCTTAAATGAAAAATGTAAAACGAAACACTTTTGTATACCGAAATTTCATTAAAAATAAAGTGTCCCATATAAAAAAAGAAAAAAAGTGTATGGCATCCAATACATATATGAGACTATAACACTAATAATATCAATTATGAATATTTCAAAGACTTCTCAGAGTCTTCAGAAAAAAGTTATATCAATAGAGCCTCGACTAGTAGATGAGTTTTATCTTAAGAATATATATATATACTGTTACATTTCACATCACAGTCTCAGCAATACCTTCTCGTATTATAGAGCATACACATGACAATGCTCGAATTGTCTCAACGTCTACGACTGCAGCTCCGCCTCGATTGTGTTTCGATCGCAATGCGCCTGGGAGACACACACACACACACACATAAGAATATATATATATTTATATACTTATACATATATATATATATATATATATAGATACTCGTATATCGCATGCCTGGCCAGATAAGTTCAGTTTGTGCACTATGATGCACCTCAGATTGCAATCAAGAGATATCCAGAGATATTGCAATTAAGATAAACCCACAAATGCCGTATATACGAAGCGTATTTAGCCAGCGCAATGGCTCTTGCCCTACACACCCCTCCCTCCTCTTTGGGCGCCCCTCCTCAGCTCCCCTCGCCCTCCATTCGAATGTTAACCCCTGAGCGTTCTATTATTATGTTGCTGTTGTTGTTGGCTTTGTGACTGTCACCAGTTGTTGTTGTTGTTGTTGTTGTTGCTAGTAATGCCATCGTGACTGTGCTCTGCTAGCTGGATCTCAGATTCCCAAACCAAATCCCGCTCCCAGTTGCCAGCTCTCTAGCTAAAGAGCTCAACGCCTTTGCCATGCAGGGAAATGCCATGTATCCAAATACCAAAGTGGCCAGAAATAGGCAGTAAAATATCCCAAATGGAATCAGAAGTAATATGAAATATAGAGATATGAAAATATATAGAGCAGAAGAAAGTAAGGCTGAAGTACTAGAATTTGGACTACTTCCATCAGTTCTCATAGAAACTGTGACAAATTTATCCATACTCAATGTTAGACCTTCCCATGCTAGCCATTTCAACTGTTCTGTGCCTCTCACTCTCTGCCCCTCACTCTCTCTCAACTGTACTTCAGCTGAATGCCATAAAAAAGGAGAAAATCAGAAGAGGAAAACCTAGTGGAAATATATAAATATCTCTCACTTAATGCTTAACATTTTCAAGTTCACCCCCCGCTACGGGTCCCGGCTCCTCGGCTCCGGCCTGGCACTGAACTTGGGGGCTGTTTCCTGTGGCTCGGCAACTGTCGCCGCCTGGTCAAATGCTGCTTGCTGCAGCAACTGCAGCTGAATCCCAACACGAATACGAATACCAATTCGACTTTGAATCTCACTCACTCGGAGTCCGCGTCCGTTCTCACTGTCAGGCGATCTGTGATCTGGGCTGCCGACGAGCGCCCCCTCCCATCCCCATCGATGCTTAAAAATAACAACCGGACTGCGTTGCCCGCCGCAGAGCTGGGCGGGCACACACATGTGTCTGCCACATGTTTGTCCATGAGCCGTTGCCAGCCAGCGGAACGGACGGCTGACACTGCCACAGACGCCGCGTAAAGTCTCTGCCACTGCCGCAGTCGCCGCAGTCGCCGCCACCGCAATCGCAGTCGCAGTCGCAGTCGCTGGCCGTGGGGCTGATGGCTGCTGCTGCTACTGCTGCAGCCGCTGGCGACTTTGACATTGTCGCTGGGCCGCAAAAATTTGCCTCTCGAGTTGGTCGCATCGCCTCCATCGATCAGGCGACCCCATTGCTGCTTGTACAGCTTCATCTTGTCAGTGTTCCATTTGTGGACACACTTGAGATTCCATTAATTCAAAAATATTTATTTTATTTTTCCATTTACCAAAATTTCATGTGTTGTTGTTTTGCCACTGGTTTCTTATTTTTTTTTTTTTTTTAATTTTTTTTATGGCAAATGCTACTATTTTCATGTTTTCTTTTTTCATGTTTTTTGTTTCCCCCTTCTTTGTCTTTCCCATTGCGTCGCGCTCTTTGTACCCACTGCTCAGTTCCCAATAATGTCATTTGGACATTGTCGCATCGTGTAAATGGAGAAGGGAGACAATTTCACAGCAAGAGACACAAGAGAAACACACACACACACGCACAGGTCTCCTCGAAAACACTTGAGAAACCGCATTCGAAATCAAAAATGAGTTCATATTCTTGGCATCTTCTATTAAAAGAGTTTGTAGTTAATCAATTCATTTTCAAAGAACTTTATGTTTTGAAAGTGATCTATATGTACATAAATACGACATTTTAATTGGATGATCTATAGGCATAATTTATTAAAAGTCAATTAAACTCAGAATTGAATTAAAATTGGAATTTCTCTAAAAATTCCAGAGATCATTAAAAAATATGACATAATATAATACTATTTATCATAAAGTAGATATACTGCTCTAAGAACTTCCAAAATCGTTAAAACAGATCACATAATATAATATCATATATCAAATCATATCATACATAAAAAAGAAACTGTGATCCTATAATGGTATTATATTAATTAAATTAAAATTAGTTAAATTATATTATAATATTATTTTTATTATTTGAATATACATTTTAGCATGTTATTTTTCTTTATTTTATTTTTTTACACAATCTTAGCTCAATCTTAAAAATTCTTAAATCTTATTTTTTTTTATCTTCTTTTTACTTTTTCTCAAGGAAAATACACTTAATAACCTGTTGGAAGGATTGAAGAATTGTCCTCACTCTCAAGAGCTGTTCAACCGCAAATGTTCAAACAAAACTCTTAGGCGAAGGCGCCGACTGTGACCCGATCGACATATAGAATTACCGAATCGCTTGTCCACTTGAGACGCCAAGTGCGTGGCACTTGTAAAAAAATTTGAAAATTCAATTAAGCATGTTATGAGAATTGAAGAAAAGGCGGCGAAGTCCGGAGGTCAGCGAGTGTCAAGGACTCTGCCACAGATCCTTGCACATGTGGAGACTAGGTTAAGTAGCAGCGGTATCTAGCACTGGGAATGCGACTTAAGTGCTCTACGTGTGGGTGAATAACGGCAGACTCGACTATCTTAGACTCTCCGATCGGCATGAAGTCTTGTGAAATGGGAAAAGTATAGCATAATTATTCTTCTGCACATATGAGTGCTACATATATTCTCTCTTTGGGCTTAATATTTGCCAGCCAAGTAGTATCTATGGTATCTACGGCTAAGGGGTGCAGACGCCCGCGAGAAGGGCATTGAGGACAAAGCTGTTTATAGTTGTTAGCCTTCATGGCCATCGAATGTATAATCGATCACTTGGGTGGGCCTCCGGCGCCGGCAGTGCCCGGCCAACGGGCCGAGCGCTGAGTTTGTTGGGTCATCTAAACAAAGCCAAAACCAAAAGCCCAGGCCCAGACCCAAACCCAGACCCTAACCCAAACCCGGCCACGGCCGGTGCAGGTCGTCCCAGGAGCCAAATGTGGCACTTGGGCTCAATGAATTTTGTTAAATCGATAAACTTTGTTTAGCCCGCGGAAACAACAAGAATCAGCCGGCCCCTAAGAGCACCACCACCACCACCACCACTACCACCATTGCCACTATCGCCACCTGCACCAGCTTGGGTGAGGGGCTAACCACAGGCGAGGCAGAGTTCTCAGATTCCATGGCTACGCGGCCCTGGCCAACGGATTGCGTCAATCAACAATTTGTCAACGCAAACGAATTGGAATGGAACAGAACGGAATGGAGTGGAGTGGAGTACAATGAAATGGAATGCTATGGACGCAATGTGAGCCCATAGATGCCATGGCTACGCAAGGCCAATCAAACAATTTTGTCAATCGAGACAATATGGAATGAAACGTAACGGAATGTAATGGAATGGAATGTTCGTTATGTGACGACCCGCATCCTGTGTGGCAGCTCGTTTAATCGATCAACGGCCAGCGCTTGGCATTGAGAACATTTCAATTGGTCGCTCGGTGGGTTGGCTTGGTGGGGCGCCTCGGTGGGTCGCTCGATGCTTCGCCCAGTGGGTTGACATAGCGGTGCTATCGAAACTGTGACCCGCAATCGATCCAACAAAGCTGTTCACGCGACAATTAATGGCCAAGCAACGCGCTCAGCGACGCCTGGCACCGAACCTGCCACAGCAACTGCCACAGATGCTGCTGCTGCTCCTGCTCCTACTGCCGCTCCTCCTGCTCTCCTGCTCTCACTGCAGCAGCCAGCCCAACGGTAGCCGTGATAATGGCCAGCTTGTGCAGCCCCTTGGCCAATTGCAAATTGGCAGCGATTGAGCGGCTGCCACTTAAGCGGCAATCATGACCAGCGACTCGGCCAGGCCGACAGACGGACAGACGGACAGAGGGACAAACTGATGCAGAGCTGTCAGCATGTGCTAGTTGAAGAAAGGCTAGTTTTATAGCTAAAAAAGGCTAGATTGCAAATGATTCATTGAGCTGCAATTTCATATAAAATTTATGCCCATTCACTTCGTCTGCATTTATATTATAGATTATTAAGCCAAGTTAGTGAAGTATATTTGTGACACCATTATTTATTAACACAATGACATCAGAATTTGGCTGTCAATATTGGCTTAATCAAATCTACAATGTGACCAATTCCTGCAATCATATCAACAGCAGATCCAAATAGATCACATCAGATAATAGATCCTTGCCTGTACGCCCTAGTCTAATTTGATCTCAGCCTTCCACGCTCAGCCCTCTTTACTCCTGCTATAAATCTCTTGTTCATATTTATCTCCCTGTTACACATTCTGCAACAATAATCTATCAAATTCTAGGAACATAATCCTATTTTAATGTATATCGAAAAACCGATCCTAAACCAGAAAGCATGTACTATATATACCTAATTCATTGGGGAACTCTTTAATAACAACAGCTTATTTTATCTAATATAACAATACTAGAATCTATATGTAAAAAAAAAATAAAAATTTAAAAAAAATATATCAATAAATTTTCAACTTAAAACAAGCTGGTTTCTTGTAATTGTAATTTCCTACATATTTATATTATATTTATAAAAATACTTTCCCATAAAATTTGTCGGAAAAAATCCATTAATAAATTTTTTTTTTTTTTTTTTTTTTTTTTAAACTCTAACATCATATTTTAATAACGAATATAGAAACAAAAAAAAAATCATATTTCTATTCAAGGAAATATTGAGAACTCAATCAAAACTCAACAGCTGAAATCTGACGTTGCTCAACACTGTTTCGGCTGGGGCAGCTTAATGCTAATGTAGCAGCTGCCCGTTGGCCAGATCGTCAGACATTTGGGCTGAGCGAGAATGAGCGAGAGAGAGATAGAGAGAGAGAGAGGGAGCTTAGCTTAGATTGTTGGCCAATTTGTCGACACTTCTAATGCTGGACATGCGCCGCAGGATTATATAATGAAGCCCAGTTGCAGTTGCAGTTGCCGGTGCCGTTGCCGTTGCAGTTGCAGTTGCAAGGAGTGCACTCAAAACTCAAGCAGCTTTTGCCACTGCCGCTGCTGTTGCATATGTCACACAGCAACCGAGCAACCCCCTTTGCCTGCTCAACTACACCTCTTGGCTTTGGTAATTGTTGGCAATTCTTGTAATTTACGTTGCAGTTGTTGTTGTTGTTGTTGTTGTTGCTGCTGCTGCAGTTGCTGTTGCTGTTGTTTTAGTTGAGCCGCGCTTTTTGAAAATCTCACATCTTGCCGACATGGAGGCTGTGCATATATTATGCGATTCATACACATGTATATGTATTTATATATTTATATATGTATACATATATACTCGTTATATACACTCTGCCTGCCCCTCCCCCTTACCGCACTTATTATTTACTTATTGAAATGCCGATGCGAAGGGTAATTACGAGTGCTCCTTTTTTCGCTGGCTTTGTTTGATGTCGCCGCATTCCGAGTGTTGACAAACAACAACAAATGCGAAAAAAATACAAAAAAAAATGCAAGAAATAAACGAAATCTGGCAACTGTTGCCGCATACCTAAAGACATCCGCGCACCACCGCACCACTGCACCACCGAACCACCGAACCACCGCACACCCACAACTGTCAAAGAGCGCACAACCTTTTGGACAAGCCCTAAAAACCAACATCGTAAGTATATATACACATACATACATCATTCTATATGCATTCTACAATCCAAATACCATTTACATAATCCGACGAAATTTCCGAATTCACAGATTCTTGAAATCTTTTGATCACATATCGAAATTACAATATTAATGATCAGCTTGAATGGCAAAATCTTTGCATTGCATTGATTAGGGTTATGTATTTAAATATATACAGTATATTCATATACATTCCTGATCAGAGAATTATCAAATAAAATAAAAATCTAGCAGAACAAGTTTATCTTCTTCCCCTCTTTGTCCCACCACAAAGCAACATTATTTAAAGTCTTGAGTTCTGTAAGCTCAACTTGAAAGCTCGATGAGCAAGAGGCAGTTAAGGTATGATGGAATTCCTCTTAATATTTTTAAAGAACTACAAATATTTTTATCAAAATAAATAAAAAAAAAAATTATTAAATTAAAAATATATAAAATATTTAATATTATTATATATTTTTAATTTGATAAATTTTTTTATGCTGAAGTAATCATTAACTGGGATTATTACGTGTAAAAATTAAAGTGCTTTTTGGCATGAAATTGGAGTATTACCTATATGAAATGTTTTAAAGAACTTTTTACATTAATTTTAATGCTAGCCTTAACATATCATAATCATATAATAATATTCTTAACCCAATGAAAATGGGAAACCATTTAATGTATTTTTAAAAATGTATTTGTTTGAATCTGAAAACAAAATCGAAATATAATAAATTTATTAATAAAATTTTGAATATT